GTTGGTAGAAGAGTTTAGCTAGCACAATATAAAGATATTGATCACCCTAGTTTCAAGAGGCAACGATGCAGTTTTCGGTTCTGATATGAGCCTGTCAACGGTTGATGATAAGAGTAGGTTGCCCTTTGCGACCACTCCTCACTATAGGACTTATGATGCGGCTTTGAGCTCTGAGGATGCCTTAATATTCAGGGCTTCAAAGCTTGTCGGCACGTACACAGGAAACATTCCTGACCACGTTTGGCTACTGTGACATGGAAAGTATCGCAGGGTTGACGAAGATGCTGAGAGCTTCAGAGCTGAGAGTACAGACTACGCGCAAGTCACTAATGCCCTGAATTGACTGGAGACACGCCATTGTGGTGAAAATTATAAGGCCTAATTAAATGCTGTTCGACCCTCAGCAGAACGGATGGCAATTTGTGGTCTTCGCGGCTGCGATTCCAAAATGGTTACCAACAGTTTTGCCTGATAATGTGCTCTGATAGATCGCGCTGATAAGGACAAACAGTTCACAACAATACCCACAGCAGGCAGTTGTCCTTTTCTTCAACAGCTTGTCCTGTGAACGTGAAAAAAAACAACAACTATGGGCGCGGGTGTTTCACTGGTGTAGGACAAAAGCGCACGCGCGTGTAACACGCGATGCAGTCAAATGGTGTTGCGCGGCACGAACGGCGGCACCGACAGGCGACCAATCAGGTTTATGTATATGGGTGTGTCAGGGCGAAAAGAAGAAGACAGTGTTGAGAGACGCCCAATACAAGAGGAAAGTTCCGAATGTCTTTCACGAAATAAAACCCTGTAAAATCGACTACGAGGACTGTTTAAGAGGTTTGTATGATTCCCAGAAGATTGACAGAATGACTGAAAAAGCTATTTTGTTTCATACCGGTAAGCAGGGCTCCTCTCAAGGGAGTAATGTCACTAGCTCAGGTACGGCCAAAAAGAGAATTTCGGACAACAACTAAAAATAAATGTACTTGATCGCTGGAATAAAGCCTTTAATGGCCGAACGGCTTGAGATTCTACATAACTCCTGCACTTGTCACTGAAAATGTGTTTGAACATTCTTTCCGAAAGTAAAACCAATGAAGCTATAATAACGTTAGTTTTTGTCAGAGCGAGGAAAAAAGAAGTGAACCTTACAAAAGTTTCAGTCTCAGAAGACATGAACGTTCGGAAAATGGCAATGCCTCGTAGTCTTAAAACCTGGATACTGAAGAGCTTCAAAAAACAAAAGACCTAGCAGCTATCAAATAAAATCAAAGACACGACATTCTCCTCTCACCAACTTCGTCTCCAATGGCAGAATGCTCTCTTCCCTTCCGTAATTAACCGGGGAATACGGTGAAGAAGGAAACCTGAATAACTGCACAGCAACTATGTTAGTCTACGAATTAATCAGAGACTTTCTGTTGAGGGGTCGAACTCATTCCTTTGAGCGAACAAAAATGATTGTTCGACGGAGAGACGCGTTATGCATCCTGATCATTTAATCTGCAACCAAATCATCCCACCTCCTACCCATCTACTGTGATGAAAGAAAATGGGCAAGACGGGAGCGAAACAACGCAAAAGGTGTGCACATCAGGCCACGAGACTACTGATGGATAGGTGGGCCTCTACGCGAACTGGTTTAAATGCATAAATCCGTTGCATGATTAGTGCATACCATAAAGCGTAGTTAAACTGTTCGCCAGATTACGTAGTTGCTTTTATTTTTACAGTTGAAAATGAACAAAAGAGGTCACAGGCTCGAAATAACAAAAAAGGTGAATGTTTATCAACGAATAAAAGGACTTTCCTCGTGTTCAAGCCGCCATACCCAATTTGCGTCTTCCTCCCATGGATAAAGTAAAATATAATTTCAGGGTAAACGTCTACACGTTTAATAGTTAAAAGTAGCCTGCTCCCTGTTCCACGGAAAACGCGGAAGAGATTCGAACGGGCTCAGTCAGGAAGTTAAGGTGCCAGTTTTGTGCCGCCTGTGCGAATGTCCGATTGGGGGAGAGACTACTAAGGGCAATACCAACGGCCACTTGTCATGAGTTCACCGCCCCGAGGAAACTCACTTACAGCAGCAGGCGAAAAAGGTCAACAACCATGCCAACTTGCCAGAAACAAAGCAATTTTACAAGAGAAAACCTTGGAGACCCCGAAAAGCGGGGGAGGGAGGAGACTTACCGTAAGGCTGTACCGTTTGGAAGGATTGAGAACAAGCATCTTACGCAGCAGCATTTCGCATTCGTGGGACATGTAGAAGGGTACGCGATAAGTCCCGCGAAGCACACACTCTCGCAACTCCTGCACCAAAAAACAAGACAACAGAGCTAATAAGGATAAGATCACGAAGGAAAAGAACAAGCTGAGACAAATAACCGATGTCAAAGATATAATCGTGTTGGCAACGGAAAGCGGATACTTTGAGGATGGAAAAAGGGAAGATAAGTGGCGGAAAACAAGCCCCCCGGTGAAATCAAGGTCCATATGCTGTTACTGCCTACTACCGTAGCGAGCATGGACGTTGACAGTTGTGGCAGAAGACGATAATGAAGAAGAATGGGGGGAGAGGAGTGGTGGTGGGGGCCGTTTCGCGGGACGACCAAATTCCACAGCGGCAGAGTTGAAAGACGGTGGGGAGACTATAGGTTGTGCAACAATGCCGCCACTGACTGGACTCATCAAATAGCTCCAAATCAGTCCCTGGATTCTGACAGTTAGTTGACCAAAGTTTTCGGCAGGGCGACGATGCAGCTTTGGGGCTATAATAGCTATTCGACTTCACACATTGTTTCTACCTTCTCTAGAATAAAACTGTTCAGCTAACCTGAAATTATAATTATGATAAGAGCCCTCGCTATACCAAAGTTGTGACTGTACTCTATGCATAAATAAAAGTAATGGGTTCAGATAAAAAGAGGGTTTCCAAAACATAAACAAGCCACTTGCTTTCGGCATAAATTGATTGAAGGTCCAAGGGTTTGGGACTGCTCCCTTCAAACCTGAAAAAACCTCACAATGGTACGACAGAGCTAGAGAGCAACACAGATGGTCATTCAATCGCTGTAACTAAAGTGGAATTTGAAAGAAGTGCTTAGGCAACGTTGTTTGATATAGTGTTTTTATAAGGGCGTAAAGGCGCTCCTATGAAAAACGACTTATGAAAAATCATAGCAGGACCGAAACTGTTCAAATCGACAAGAGCAATGCCTATTATGTGAGTATTTGATTAATGTTAAGGAAAACAGGACAAACGAACCAAACGTTTAATAAAAAACATTGAGCCATCAGCTTCCACTGACGACTGAATGACAAAATGACTTGGAATTGCGACAGGTAATCGCAAATTTCTCGGCCGCAATGTGAACTCCGCTAGTAAAACGAGTGCCGTCATCCATCAGTCAGTCACCGCAATGCCATCAAAGCGGTCATGAGCTAGGAATGCATGGATGGAGACCAACGATCACGACTGGAGTCGCCTGTCAGCAGGTGTGAAAAGACCCAGGCTATCTCGTAGCTCAAAATACAGTAGGTGGCCAAACTCATGCAATCCTACGATTTTTACAAGTAACTC